GCTTCTTATTGGGGATGATGATGGTTATTGCTTAAATTTTTTTTTTTTTATATAAACTGGCCTTTTTTTTAACTTCGTCTATGGTCTATCAAGACCTAGGAACGGCTCTGGCCTTGGACAAACAGTTTGTACCAACATAAACATAGTAAAAAACACAAATAGATATCTAACGATCATAACTACAAACTAATCTCACACTCTCAACAAAAACATAGTTCAGAGTTTAGAAGTTAATTTGATCGTTTTTCAAAGAAGACAAGTTGGTATCAAACATATACAGAGTAAAACGCATAGATATATAAGATATCTCACAAGAACAAAAGAGCAACCCCAAAAAAAAGTGGAAGAAAAAAAACAATATGCTCATCGTAAGCTACCCACCCAGGGTTTGTAATTTTGTATCTAGTAAAGCCAAATGAAATCCTTAGTAAGTTGATTATGGTTTGACTTGTGTTTAGCACATCTAATCTCCTGCTCTCATAATCACATAAGCTTTCTCAAGGTCTCCATGGTGCTGGTGGCGGCGGTGGAGTCGGGAAGAAAGGAGGAACAGCTGAAAAAATAGTGTTTTTGTCTATAGTACTAGAGGTGTCTTCGTCACCCATCAGCATTTGTCTATAATGCCACGAGAGGTGTTTTTGTCTATAATGCCACGAGAGCTGCGACCAGACCAGCATTTCCAGCAAGGGTCGGTTCAGTGTAGTTGTAGTTAGTACGGACATCGCGGAACCCATCACATCATGCTTGCCAGGACCAGCAACCATGGCTCCTTCAATCGTGTTTGGGTTTTGGTTTCTTGCTCTCTCCATTTCCATCCTCCTTGCAGTTATATTTGACTTTTTTCTTAGGAATTGAAGCTCCTCTGTGACGCACACGTCTCGGGTATCGTGGGCCAAAACCCACCAGATAACTCATTTTCCGAGGGTTTTAACCGAGTATGTAATCAATCTGCAAAAGCAAAGCTAGGCTGAGTAAACTCCAATTCTGGTTTTTACACAAGTATTTATGTAAATTACGAAAATTACACTTTTAGATTTCCAAGAAGTTGGAGTTGAAAATGGCAGATAACTCACCCTTGTAACTGTTGAATTTGTTGAAATAAGGTAAATATGAGCACATGACTATGCTTGTTTGATTATGGAAGGTCCTTAGAATTTCTTCATATGGATAGCCAGGACTAAGAAATAACCTCAAGCGGCTCAACAGCAACTAAAAAAGCCTGAAAAGCAGTTTGGTTAAATCAGATGGTCAAGAGGACATGATCACCTAAAAATAAACAAAGACAATGTAAGACTGACTGACCTGCAAGCTTGTTGTCCCAGCTATCCGACCTGTGTCAAACATGTGATGAGCAACTAAACAAGACAAAAAAGAGCCCATTTGAGAAAGCAAAGATCTCCCTGAACATATATTAATACCTGCAACACGAGATCATCAATCGAATCAGCAGTTCCCCATTTGATGAGTTCCTTGACTTGGGCGAGCTCTCCTGCGGCTTCGTATTTGGCGTTGTATTCAATAACACTCCAGCTCAACATGGTCATCGGGAAGTTGAACTTTTTGATAGCATCTCCAGCATCATAATAACCTCCCACCAAATCTTTGTAACTGCCTTTCCCATCTTGAAGCCGAGAGTTACCCATCCATGCCACGTTATTGTGCCTCGGCAACTTCCCAGCTGGAAACCATCAGACTTTCTATAAATCTAAACCACCCGATTTCCAGATCTTGAAGACTGACTGTGCGAGAGAGAAGCGAACTTACAGTGCAAGAACGACTTCTAAAGCAAACTCCCACAGGTTGAAAAAGAAGGATTGCGATTAAGCCAATTTCCCACGTGCTCGACTCCATTGTTCTTCCTTACGAATCGAGAGCCCATTTTGTAGCATTAGAAAGGCAGAGAAGATGGAAAGGTAGAAATTATGATTTTAATCTCTTGGAAGCTATGGAAGGCTAGGGTTAGGGAAGATGAAACCAATGGTAAATCGTTTGAGAATTGAAGCGAGCGTTAGAAGTTTTAATTGTACACGTGGCTTATTTTGCGGAGCTGACGTGGCAGAAGTAGGAGAGAGGCATCAGGGTTTTATCTAGTAGATATTTGGAGAAATGTCTCCCAGATTTTATTAATAACTTCTT